CTGTACCATAGATCTGCTGTACCATAGATCTGCACCATAAAGAGAGGAGGATGTAAGGAACCATTGAACATTTGAAAAATGTTAAAATATACAGACCAAATACTGAAAAGTTTGAAAATAAAAATCCCCCAACAATGTTGAAAAATTCTGTAAAAATTAGACAAACGTTCACCAAAACCATTTGGTGTAAGGAACCAACAGAAATGGACAAACTTTTAAAAAACAAATTTTCAAATGTTCAGTTGAACATTTGAAAAATGTTAAAATATACAGAACAAATACTAAAAAGTTCGAAGATAAAATCCCCCAACAATGTTGAAAAATTGTGTAAAATTTAGATCCTTCCAAAAAATACTTAAAATAATAGTAATAATTCCCCTTTTAAGATAAATATAAAAAAAACATGTTTTTCAGTGAGGAGTTTATGTCAAATCAGCCAAGGAGCTAAATGAAGTGAAATCTCCATTAAGTTTCATTCCAATGGTCCATTAATGAACATTTACAGTATTGAGTTAATCTTTATTTAACTTGAAGGTTGAAAGTTCAAAGCTGTATTATTTGGTGATATTTCTGTGTTTTCTTCTCTGCCTGTGGTTCCGTCACCCTGTTTGTCTCAGTTACTGTCTGCAGCTCAGCATCACTGTCTCTGTCTCTGACTCTGACTTTCTAATCCACCGCTCATGCCTTAAATCACTGTGCATCATTTTCAGGCCTTTAAGTGAACCACAAAACCAAAATAGACAGAGAGGAATCAGAAATGATCTCTGATAGGAGATGGGGGACGCAGGGAGTCGAGGGGAGTCGACTGCACCCTGTAAGGACGTTTCATGACACCAGATTTGTTTTCAGGAAATTGCCAGTGTGTATTTTTCCCCCATGCAGGAACCAGAAGCTTTTTCTGTGGAAACGACGATATTATTCATGTCTATAATAAACTCTGATCTGAACTGAGCCTCAAATGATTCCTGGAATCACTTTGACGACTAAATGTGATTTTGCCTGTGGAATGAACCACTTACTCATATTCTCTATGTTTTGGTTTCTTTTGTGCAGCTGCCTTTCTGAAGGTTCACTGCTGCTGCTGCTGCTGCTGCATATTTCATCAGCAGAAGTCTGTTGGGCCCCAACACCAGGCTCATTTGTGTCCCAAATCAACTCACCCTAAATGGCCGTCGATCGACTGCTATTCACAGTCACATTAGAGACGCTCGTCTGCTGTGTGTCATACCCAAGATTGGAGTCTAATAGTCTCTCTTTGTCACTTCCTCTCTCTCCGTCACTCGTTTCCAAATTCCCCCCGTTCACTAACTAGCTCCTTTATGTTTTCTCTGACTTGAAATCATTCACTGCCCTTGTTGCGTATTCGTCTTCTCTCTCTCTCTGTTCATCATCTCTCACTTATGGAGATGGATGAAAGGGTGGAACAGAGAGTCTGGGTGCAGAGCTCGTCTGATGGGTTCAGTGTACGTCAGGTCATTTACTAGCCCACCGGTCCATCCATCCTGAAACCAGCCAACAGCTCCACTACCACTGCCACACGTGCACAAAACAACGGACCGTAGGTCCAGACAGAACAAGTCGATGGCAGGGGAAGGCCGTACAATTGAACTGAACAACAGCAACGTCTCATAGGAATATATGATGTAAAAAACTTTTCTTTTTTTAAAAAAAACATGGTATTGGTCTAGCTTAGCAATACTAATTTATTCATATGTTACAGACCGGAGTTCACAGTAACTAGATCAGGATCAGGAACAGAAGATCATAAAAGGAGTGCTGGTAAATCATGAGCGATTAAAATAAATATATAGAAATATATTAATATAATTATATAGTGTGTAGTTAGCTCGTCTGATGGGTTCAGTGTACGTCAGGTCATTTACTAGCCCACCGGTCCATCCATCCTGAAACCAGCCAACAGCTCCACTACCGCTGCCACATGTGCACAAAACGGACCAACTCCTGGGAAACATGATGTGAGACGAACCCAACCTATATATGTTCATATATATTTATTAGTAAATATATTTTATTGAGATTAAAGCAGGCGCATTACCTTTAGCTTCAGGTCAGTTGAGACCGGTCCATCCATCCTGAAACCAGCCAACAGCTCCACTACCGCTGCCACATGTGCACAAAACGGACCATAGGTCCAGACAGAACAAGTCGATGGCAGGGGAAGGCCGTACAATTGAACTGAACAACAGCAACATCTCATAGGAATATATGATGTAAACTTTTTTTTAAATGTTGTATTGGTCTAGCAGATTAAAGCAGGCGCATTACCTTTAGCTTCAGGTCAGTTGAGTAGTAGCTCCCAAGCCAAAAAAGTGTGGACACCCTGGGTGATGGTCGGGCAGTAAGACGTCATCAGATTCATGGAGGTGAAGACTAAAAGAGACAAGAAAACATGAGAAGATTCAAAGTTTTCTGTGGTCTGTCTTCTAGAAGACACAGTTATATTTGACTGAACGTACACCAGAATATATGTACACAGTGAGAGATGTTTTTTTGTTTAGTTATTTTTGTTGTCACACCACAGCCCTGGATACAGACTGTCAATGCTAATCAAGTTCAATTTTATTTGTATAAGAAAAAAAAAAGTTTGCTGGAACTGGCTGTATAGTTTGGTTACAAAAAAACAAACAAACTTAGAACTACCATCTTCCAAAATTCCCAAAATTTAAGGGCTATATTTACAATATTTTACAGTACAATTGTAGTAATTGTTCAAACACCAGGGCCAGAGCAACTTCAACCATCGACCAATCAATGTGTTCTGGTTATTAAGGCCGTCGTGATCACTGACGTTATCCTGTTTTCCACCTTCAAACACTGCTGGGCTGTTTTAACTGGGACTCACTGAGGGGCTAGCTGTTGCTGCATCCATTTCTCATGTTGTCTGTGTGCACAACTCCGCACACTCTCATAGCAACACAATGGCTCTCTAAATGAGTTCCATCTCTCTGGGTGTATTATTCCACTGCGGGGAGGTCTGGGTGTCACCATTCAACACAATAACAACAGTGGGATCTTTTCTATTAGCAGCTCGCTCCGACACACAGCCAGGCACCGCAAACACGCTTACCAAAACAAACACACAAAAATGCACATTCAGCCTTGGGCCATGACATATCATGCATACTCAGAGATACACCCAAAGCCCAAAGCTCCAGTCATCTCATTAGTGCCATGGCTTGTTTTCACCACTGGGGGTTTGTGAATAAATT